ATATCACGTGAATGTTTTCTAACGCCCGAAGTACCACGACAAAATTTTCACACGTCAATGTGTCCGGGCCGTGAGCTAAATATAGACCAGTGTCCGCTGTGGCAAATACTGGTCAACAACAAGGTAAGGAAATCTGGTTTGAGATGGGAGAGATTGGGCTAACGTGACTAGTGGTCAAAAAATATCCACAAAACGTATATTCTCAGTACTGGGGGGGGGGAGGGTGGGGTGGGGTGAATAAATAATAAAATGTTAGTAGCAAAGTTAGTTCAATCAACACAGGTTGATTTCTCGTCAGTCTTTAAGTATGCTGTTGATGGTTAGTGTGGTGTTACACGAACTGAGTTAAAGTAAAATTGTAACAATTTCACCTTAGTACTTCATTTATTCTTAGGAATCCAAAAATTGTTGAAGCGATTTTGGCTCAAACTTAAAGTACTAAGTTTGTATACATTAAAAAATTAAAAATATTAAACATGTTATTTTATATATTTGTAAACTATTACGTTTTCGTCCGTAAGCTTAGCAGATTGCATTTACTAACAATTAAAATCGAAATTTATACAAAACAATTTATTTCTATTTCTACTTCCTTTTTTTTTTAGAGATTACTTTTAAAGTTTTTTTTCAATAGGCAGTCGTTTTCGTTTGAAATGGGAAATTTTTCATTGATTAAAAACATTTAGACAAAACATATGTAACCCTCACTCAGTGGGGATGCTTTTACCCACTGAGGTGTTGTGGTTAAGACGGGCTGACCCTGAGATTAAGTACACACCGACGCCGACAGTTGTTGTCAAGTACTCGTTTATTTACAGCATCGAGCCATGACGGCGATGCAACACAGTAGTACAAACGAACTAGCCAAGATAGACCAAACAATCCAAAAAGGAAAGAAAGAAACTGTAGCCCTAAAACAAATGTAAAATAAAAAAGTTACATTCAGGACAACACCACGTGTAAGCTACAATATACACGGGTACAATAAATTATGTTTTCGGCCAGTACACAGTACTGCCAACAAGTACCAATAAGTAGTACTACAAAATAAATACTTAATTTAATACATCACCCTAACTAGTGTGCACATGCAGCACTAGCAGGAATACATAAATAAGTATTTTAACAAACATAATTTAAATATCTACACTACCTTCATTAGGTCTACATCTTGGTCCACAGACAGCAGCCTTGCGTGTGCGACACGGCTAGGCATGAAACTACCCACAATCCCATGTCACATGACATGGAACACAGGTAATTTCGCTCACAAAAGCATAAAAAAAACGTCAACAGTTCAGTTGCAGTCCCACAGGGGCCGCAACCCAATGAATAAAAACTTCATATTTTTATCCCCCTTTGGCTGTTAACCATATGTGTTACACAGCCCCCCTCACAAATAAATGTACAATGGAATTCACATTTACATTTACATTTACAACTCATACATAATAGTACTTAAAAAAAGTTCAGTACACAAGTACACAGACATTAAGTCCTTTCAACTCAAATAGATTATTCCCGGCAAACCGGTAGAGGCTCCAGTGCTGGTACTGGTCACCACTTGATGCGCCAGGTTGAGTCGCTCGACGGGTCGTCGTTGACGGGTTGACCTCCGCAGCTCCGCTGGTGGTTCTGGGTTGATCCAAGAGTCATCCTCGTCCGATGCCTCGTCCCTCGCATTCACCTCATCCAGATGTGGGGCTGGCCTGACCATCACCTTGTCTTGTCCGTCCCGGGCGACAACCTCTGGCACGAAAGGCATTGCCTCCGGCCGAAGTCTAGCTGGGACTATTTTGACTGTCAGTTCCTCACCTTCATCTGCCTCACTGGTTGGTATGACCACTCTCCGTCGCTCCCCCTCCGCCACAGTGGGTTCAGCACTCGACATTGTATAGTCGGGTCGCTGCCAACCACGGCGGCGTCCACCACGTCGTCGGCCTCTCCTCCGGCGGCGTCTCCGACCTCTGCTTGTGTCATGTCTGTCTCCCAAGCGACGATCTTGCTCGCGCTGAGACTGACATTCATAGTGTGGCTGTCTACCCTCCTCACGCGCACCCTCCGGCTGCAACCCTCCTCCACGGCGGAACACCTGACAGCCGTACCTCCAGCCGCTAGGCGAGGTAACCTGAGCTGTGGTTGCTCGACACTGTGATGATCTCGGTGGCGTAAACTTGGGCTGGGAGCTTGGCAGAACACGCATCAGCATCCGCTCCCCGACGCTGATAGACTGGCATTTACCCTGCTGCTGACTCCGTTGCCTAGCTGCTTTCCTCGGACAGTCGCGGACGAAGTGCTTCCTGGACCCGCACCCGTAACAAGCTCCTCTGCAAGGCCGTTGTTTCCGGGCTAGGATAGCTGCTGCCACCTTCTCCGCCAGACGGTCAAGTTGTTCCTCCGTGAGTATCAGCGGCGTAGTCTCCTGGCGAACAGCTGCCGTTAGTGAGTCTACCTGGATAGTCCTGTTAGCTGCTGCCGTGGCTACGACTGGGGACTCAGTTGTCCCGTCCAGCCTTTTAACAGCTTTCAGGACGGACTCCATCTTCGGGCTAGCTTCCCCTGCAACCCCGCCCGTGGGTAGAACGTCGGTGAACTCGTCCTCATCGCTGTGTACTGGAGCACACACCTTCACCGTCACGGGCCGCTGCGCACTTGCCTGTTGTAGATCAGCCATCGTAGCCCTCAACTTGGCCAGCTGCTGCGACAACTTCTCCAACGTCGGATTTCTGCTTTCCATCCTACCTCCCAAGGTCAAGCCCCACGTTGGGCGCCAAATGTAACCCTCACTCAGTGGGGATGCTTTTACCCACTGAGGTGTTGTGGTTAAGACGGGCTGACCCTGAGATTAAGTACACACCGACGCCGACAGTTGTTGTCAAGTACTCGTTTATTTACAGCATCGAGCCATGACGGCGATGCAACACAGTAGTACAAACGAACTAGCCAAGATAGACCAAACAATCCAAAAAGGAAAGAAAGAAACTGTAGCCCTAAAACAAATGTAAAATAAAAAAGTTACATTCAGGACAACACCACGTGTAAGCTACAATATACACGGGTACAATAAATTATGTTTTCGGCCAGTACACAGTACTGCCAACAAGTACCAATAAGTAGTACTACAAAATAAATACTTAATTTAATACATCACCCTAACTAGTGTGCACATGCAGCACTAGCAGGAATACATAAATAAGTATTTTAACAAACATAATTTAAATATCTACACTACCTTCATTAGGTCTACATCTTGGTCCACAGACAGCAGCCTTGCGTGTGCGACACGGCTAGGCATGAAACTACCCACAATCCCATGTCACATGACATGGAACACAGGTAATTTCGCTCACAAAAGCATAAAAAAAACGTCAACAGTTCAGTTGCAGTCCCACAGGGGCCGCAACCCAATGAATAAAAACTTCATATTTTTATCCCCCTTTGGCTGTTAACCATATGTGTTACACATACATACATATCTGACAAAAGTACCGCAGTTACGGCAGGTGTTTAATTTTTTTCTATTACTTTATTTTCGCAATAATTTTGATCGTTCAGAATAAAAAAGCTCAAGTTTTTATTCACGGCTGCTAACGTACTTTAGATATTACATGCTCTGATGCTCGTTAATGCACATGGTTTGCTAATAATCTTTTAAGGCTGATACAATCTTTGGACTAGCTTAGCCAACTACTGTTTGATCATTTTTAAAGTAATATTTTGATATTTGAAAGCACATAGAAACCATCGACTACAGCCAGCATATCAAATTAACCATCAAACTAACCTTAATTTAAATAAACTTATCACCGTGGAATTAATATTAAATAAAATCTTTGTGTATTTTAAATTCAAAGATAGTCGTTTACTAAGATATTCTAAACTCATTATTCCATTTGAGTTCAAAATTATTTCGATTTTTTTTACACTTAATTCAATTTTATACCTTGAATGTCGTGGATATGCGTGTATGTGTGTGGTGAGGAGGGTGGGGGTGAGGTGTCAAGACTAAGAGTAGCATCATAGAAAGGCGCTACCTGCTGTGTCGCCCTTGGTCTAACTTCACTGTACGAGCCAGAACAGCACTTATTGTCACTGTAATTATATTTCTATTATAAAAACATTATATGTGCATTTGTTTAATTGGATGTATTATTCAAGTGCGAATAGAAATTAACTTGATATGGAGCTTTTGAAGCAATTACATAACTAATGACAGCAAGTACTAATAGGTTAAATTACTATGAAGCTACCGAATTAGTTAATTAATTAGCCACAGCTTGTGTACAATTAATTACATAATTCCAGCGTTGCCAAGTACCCTACATCCTAGAACCAGAGAATGCAAGGATTTACATTTTAATATTTAATAGAAGTAATATATTTAAAATATGAATAAATAATGACAAGTTATAGATTTAAAAAAAAAAGCCAAGTACCCTCACTGTGAAGCAGGTGTATCTTAGTATAACGTGTGTTCTAATTTAGAGAGCACGCTGTCTACTATCTGGACATAAGGTGGTGTATCACAATATAAGGTGCGTCCTGATTTAGAGAGCACGCTGTCTACTATCTGGACATAAGGTGGTGTATCACAATATAAGGTGCGTCCTGATTTAGAGAGCACGCTGTCTACTATCTGGACATAAGGTGGTGTATCACAATATAAGGTGCGTCCTGATTTAGAGAGCACGCTGTTTACTATCAGGAGACGAGCAAATTTTCGCAGTATAGTGCCCTGGTTTAGAGAGCACGCAGTCTACCATCACCATATAGTGCCCAGGTTTAGAGAGCACGCTGTCTACTATCATAGTATATTGTCCAGGTTTAGAGAGCACGCAGTCTACCATCACAGTATAGTGTCCAGGTTTAGAGAGCACGCTGTCTACTATCACAGTATATTGTCCAGGTTTAGAGAGCACGCAGTCTACCATCACCATATAGTGTCCAGGTTTAGAGAGCACGCTGTCTACTATCACAGTATAGTGCCCAGGTTTAGAGAGCACGCAGTCTACCATCACAGTATAGTGCCCAGGTTTAGAGAGCACGCCGTTGACAATGAGGACCTGTCTACTCAATCATCTGTGGGCATGGCGTACCGTGTTTATTTTAATTTTTACACCGTTTTTGTTGCTACCACTGATTCTAATCGCTGGAACAAAGGTAGGTGGTTACGCTTACTTTTGGTTTTAGTATCGTACCAAGACCATAATTTGTGTAAAGGGGATTAAATTCATTAAAGTATTTTTTTTAATTCAATATTTAAAAAATACCCTAGATACACCGGGATGTAGGGGAGGATAGGGTGAAAAGTCACAAATTTCACTTTTTAGGATCTGGAGACAAGAATTGTGAACCTTTAACAATGCCAATGCACCAGATAATAGTTCCACATTTCAGATAACTGTATGCGGAATCATTTGGAATAGCTGTTCACGGTATACCCATGACAGAATAGTGACATTTTACCCCAGTGCAGGGTCAAAAAGTCACATGCTTGGGGTGAAAAGTCACACATTTTTAAATGTTATATGGTTAATTCTATTTGATCCCCAAAAACATTTTTTTCAATTGAAAATAATTTCCCTAAACAATTATGAATATTATTGAATGTTTAGATGATATAGGCCTATACTTATACATATGTAAATGAGGAACAGATTTGTAATTATTACAAAATTTACATAATATTGAAATAGTAAAAGATTATTTTTTTTTATTGTGGACACGCGAAGAGCCGCAGACAGAACACATGGCCATAAAGAGGACAGTAGCCAAAGATATTAATACAGGACTGTACTAAAATTGAAAAGAAATGTAAGGTTGTCTGATGTAGTCCAGCAAAACGTGTTCTTGCTCATCTGAGAAGTAGCGCTTCTTCTGCGTACTGTAGCCAAAAGTTGCCTTCTCAATGTTGCCGTCTGTTTTGTGCAGCTTTACATTGAGTTGAAGGGTCTTATACTTAACCCACAGTCGGATGCATCTTTACGGGGCGACTTTACTTCAAAATGGGCTGCAAATGCCATCTGAATGGCATGTTTCGTAAATGTTCCTCGTGTTGTATTGCGCCTTGGTATTGTCTTGGCATGATTCTGTGAAGAAAAAAAGCAAGTTGAACGCCTTAGACTAAATTTTAAGATACAATTTAAACAAACAAAATTCAGTGATTGCATATGTAATGATTGGACTATTAAGGTTATTATTACTGAGTAAAATTATATATTTACTACTATTACTACTTGACTTGCCTATTATTATCCTATTCACTGTATACATGCTAGGGGAATATAATTATATTAATCATTTGGATATTCAAGAAAGAAAAAAAAAGAAAAAAAAATATTTTGCATGTTTTGTACCAAGTAGTCTTCTTTTTTAATGGCCGGGGTGAAAAGTCACACGAAAGAAAAAGTGTGACTTTTCACCCCCAGCTGGGGGTTGTCATACAAAATGATCGAAACTTTCAAATCAATTTCTCAGAAGTAAAAACAATCCAGACTGACGTTATTATGGTTTGAGAAAACAAACATTGCATGAAAACACAACATTAATGAAAGACGCTAGCAAACTTAAAAAGATTCCGTTGATTAAATTTCCCACTTTGTCAATGAAAACAAGTACATGAGGCTCTGAACTCAGTTGCGGTTCAGAGAGTTAAAACAGAATGTTAACTCCAAGCAGGGTTAACGTCTAAAAACCGTAATTTTCTTGATGAAGGAATGAAAAAGGGTGCTCTTCAAGGCAGAAAATTGCTGTGACTTTTCGCCCCTGTGACTTTTCACCCACACCTACCCTATATCATAATAGCAAGTGTTAACATTCTTTATTTAGAGTTCAGGGTAGAATGAAGATTAGGTTTAAAGCAATAAAGCATTTGGTATTATTGATATAGGACGTGGTGATTTGGCCTAGCGGTAGAGAAATAGAATGCTAACCCGAAAGTCTCGAGTCCGATTTCGGGTTGAAAGAACTTTCACGTTAGGGCAACAAAGGCGGCTGGGCATTGTGCTGACCCCAGCATCCCCTTGTATTCGATGGAATTGAAACAGATGAACTATACATCATCGCCCCAAGTGTCTTGGGCACAAAAAGGAAAAGATGATGAAGATATAAAAAGTTTTGGTTAAACAATCGTTTGTTTTGGGAAAGTTCACAATGTTTTTACCAGCTTTTATTTAACTCACTGTCCATGTCGTCTGTCTGTTTAGATCGAAACGCCGAAGCGAAAATTCGGGCACTGCTAACTGACAGATTCGGTTCATGGTTGGTACGTGGGTGAAGACTTGAAGACAATGCAATATGACCTTAAATTGGACTTAATTAAATGCCTAATTATTTTTTTATGAACGAATTAAAATTTTGATAAAATTAGTACCCAATTATTCCGCACTATTACACACGCGTCTTCACGTTCATTATGTGCACAACGGTGTTTAGTCATGCAACTCTATTGTAAATTTTAAAAATTAAAGAACTGAAAAAACTTCATAAAAAACTTTTTAATCACAAGCTTTTAAGTAATAACGCACTAAAAAGTAGAAAATAAATCATACACTACTATTTAAATAACTAAAAGAAAAGCGTGAGTCTCTTGCGAAATATTACCAAAAATCCACTACTAACTAAAGTTTAAGTTTTGATTAAGTTTAAAATGAAGGTTTAAGGTTAGATTAGAATGAAGGTTTAACATCAAATAAGAAAGACGGTTTAATTATAATATTTGCTACATTACATGGTTATGCTAATGTAATTCACCCTTTCTACCCCAGGAATCCAAATGTGGCTACGTGCTGATCTTGATGGGAATCTACTGGATCACCGAGTCCCTGCCTGTTGGAGTTACCGCCCTTATCCCCGTGTTTCTCTTCCCCTTCTTTGAGATCCTCTCGTCCAATGAAATCTCAGCTCAGTACATGAATGTAAGCTGGTGGCATGTGGGGGGGGGGGGGGGTGTAAGTACATGAATGTAAGCAGCTGGCTATGTGGGGGAGGGGATGGAGTGGGGTGGGGTTTAAGTACATGAATGTAAGTTGCTGGCTATGTACAACAATTCAAACATTGTCTATAAATGGCGTCACACACTTCAGGGGGTTAAGGGGTGGGATGGGGTGTAAGTACATGAATGTAAGCTGCTGGCTATGCACAACAATTCAAATATTGTCTATACATGGCGTCACACACTTCAGTGGGCTAAGTGGGGGTGGGGAAGGGTGATGGGGTGTAAGTACATGAATGTAAGTTGCTGGCTATGTACAACAATTCAAACATTCTATAAATAGTGTCACACACTTCATGGGGTTAAGGGGTGATGAGGTGTAAGTACATGAAAGAAAGCTGGCGGCTTATCATAATAACAGTTAAACATCGTCTAGAAATTGTGTTACACAAAAAGAGGAAGTGGGTGGAGCTCAGTACAAGAACGTAAGATGGCGGCTTTTTACATGAAACATGGTGTACATATGGCGTCACACACCAGGGTTAGGGGGTCAGTGGGAATTATATGAACGTTATCTTAGATTAATAGAGACCAAGTAGTTAAATTTAAGCTGGTGTCTATTTGTAACAAAAGTAAAAAGTCCTCTATAAATGACGTCACACGCGGGTGGGGCAGTGGATTGTTTTACTCACGATTTGCCGGTGTCTGTTAGCGATGATTAAAGAATAAATATGGTGAAAGTGGGAGCTGGATGTTTTCCGAATGCCATCTGCCCGAATTCGACAAACGCCCGATAGGACAATTGCCCGAATGGGACACATGACCACATGGACATTCTAAAGGCATAGCCACATTTGTTTCCATGTAGGGGGTCGGCGTGGTCGAGTCGGTAAAGCTCATGGTTGCTAAACCGAAAAGTCTCGAGTTCGAACCCTCGGGCAGATGAGGCTCGTTAGCTGGGGACAGCCACTCTTCTAGGAGAGACAACTCCAAAATTAAACAACTGCTGCCTTGTAGTTTGTTCTTGGTTGGACAAAGGCTATGGAAGCAAATCCAAAAAGAAAAGCAGGCTGAAATCGGAGTCAATGGCCTCAATGGCGCATAACCACTTGACACTTAACGCTTAATTGTGTTGGAGGCGTGGTCGAGTCGGCAAAAAGCTCATGGTTGATAAATTCGAACAGTCTCGATCCCCTTCAACACTAATAATTAAGAACGAAGAAGAAGAAGTTTCCATGTGTTTCTTATTCCTTCGAATAAGTTAATGTTTCAAGATGGCCGCCGTTGTCATAGTTACCTATATTTTCCCACATTTTTTTAAAAATGGAAGCACATATGCGGAAGTACCTTATAAAGCTACAGAGAAATAATTGTTTCCTTAAAGAGTTTTTAAAAAAGTATTTCTTTATCAGTCTATCCCCTTAAATGGATGTCTAGCATTTTCTCCCTCCCTCCCTCCCTCCCACCCTCCCTCCCTCCCTTCATCCCCAGGACTTGAACATGCTGAACCTCGGGTGTCTGGTCATGGCCGTGGCTATAGAGGAGTGGGAGCTACACAAGAGGGTGGCGCTCAGGGTTCTGATGTGTGTGGGGACGGAGCCGAGGTGGTAAGTAGGGTTTGTGTGGGGAGTTGGGGTTTGTGTGGGGAAGTGTACGGAAGTGGTGGGTGTGGGGAAGTGGGGGAAGAGTAAGGAAGTGTGGTTTGTGGCAAAGTGGAGTTTGTGTGGGGAATTGGGGTTTATGAGGGAAGTGGGGGGAAATGTATGGAAGTAGGGTTTGTGTGGGGAAGTGGGGGGAGGGGGAGTGGGTTTGTGTGGGATTCGGGATTTGTACATTCATTGATAAAGGCCTACGTGTCCTGAACTAATTCTGTTGTTACAGTTGGATCATCTGTTCTGCAAAGTCATGTCTACGACTATATTAACGATTATTTATTGCCTTTAGACTGATGTTAGCATGATACTAGCTAATAGCTATACTAACAATTATTTCTTCTATCTAGACTGATGTTGGGGTGATGTTATCCCTTAGCCATAACGTTAGAATAATGTTAGCCTTACGGCTTTACTAACCGTTCCCCTACTATAGGCTGATGTTGGGGATGATGTTAGCCACATGGTTCCTATCGATGTGGATGTCTAACTTAGCCACCACAGCGATGATGATACCTATAGCTGAAGCCATACTCTATCAGCTGCGGAGTGCTAAGGATGCCTATAAAACCCCTGAAAGTACGAATTTTTAAAAATCTCTTTTCAACCCACATTAATTTTTTTTTCATTCCTTAATTTATAATATGATAATTTATAAATAATATTTCTATTAAAATAAAACAAAATCCACCTCTAAAATTGCTTTCTTTAATCACTTATCATCATAAATTACAATTACTTTCATCATTTTGTATATTAAATTATTACATGTTCTTTAATAACTTCTCATTAAAATTATATTTCTATAATCACGTCACATCATCAATCGGGTAGTTGATGCTGGGTCTAAAATTAAACACAATTTCTCTCTCATCAATAGTCTTTCGCGGCCATAAACAGAGAAGTAAGGTTCAAATTTGGCTAATAACTAAACTGTAAGCCGACGGTTCTTAAATTGTTTCGTAGGACCCGGTGCTTTTATTCCGATTTGCCGTGGACGTTTTGTTTAATTTTTCATCTGCAGATGAAAATGGTATTTTTGGTGCGGATACCGAGGAGACAGCTATAGACCTAGCGGATTTAAATTCAGAAATGTAAGATCTTTAATCCATAATCTTTAATACGAGTGTTGTTAATGTTAAGACTTTTAGTGTTATTATTTATATACTTGAATAGGTGACATCAAGGTATATACTTACTACAGGGCCATGCAGACATAGTTTAATCATCATGTAGGCATAGGTTTACCATAAGGGTAATCATGTATTACACTCACCGCATGTATATTGAATCGCAATAATCTGTTCTACAACACTCTAATCTTGGTAATTATCAACAAAATATAAGATGCTATTTAGGTTTCCAAAATTGGGTGTTTGTATTTTTTAAAGAGTGTAGTCACTCTTACAGTGTCAAAATATTTTCTGTTTATTGATAATATTTTTTTTTTTCAATTTAGTTGAGATACGAGGAAATGACCAGAAGTTGTTATACCTTTTTTATTTAACAGTTTTTAAAAAGAATTTGATGAGTATTATTAAAAATATTAAAATATAGTTTCAAATTTTTAAAGTTTTCAGTAGTATGCACTTCCTATTTTGTAAAAACAATCCTTATATGATATTCCAGTCATCACGAAAATGGAGAAAACGTAAATGACAAAGAAAATGACAGGAAACAGAAATCGTCAGAAAGACAAAACATTAGGACCTCCAGTGACACGGACGACGGGTTGACGGGGTTCGCTAAGGGGATCTCACTCGGTATCTGCTACTCCGCCACGGCCGGGGGCACAGCCACACTGACAGGCACGGGGACAACTCTCATCCTCAAGGCTCTCACAGATGCGTAGGTGCAGTTGATTTACACTGGTGCATGTTTGTTATGTAGTACATCGTAAACCACAGTGCACTGTAAACCGCAGTCGAAGGCCGACTTAGTCACTCACGTAAGCAGGCTAAACTGTGAGCATTATGCGTTTATGTTTGCATTTAAGCTATGTTTATGTTATGAGTATTGTGTTTGTTTTTTCGTTTTTTTTTTTTTGCGTTTGTGTTTGTGTTTGCATTGTATTGGTGTTTTCATTTGTGTTTTTATTTGCGTTTGTTTTTTCTTTTATGGTTGTGAGCTGCATTTGTGTTTTTGTTTGTGTTTGCATTGTGTTTGTGTTTTCTTTTTTGGTTGTGTTGTGTTTGTGTTTGCATTGTATTGGTGTTTTCATTTGTGTTTTTATTTGCGTTTGTTTTTTCTTTTATGGTTGTGAGCTGCATTTGTGTTTTTGTTTGTGTTTGCATTGTGTTTGTGTTTTCTTTTTTGGTTGTGTTGTGTTTGTGTTTCGTTTGTATTGTGTTTGTGTTTGTGTTTGTGTTGTGTTTAGTTTTGTTCTGTTCTGTTCCCAAGTTACATTTATAAAAGATTTACCGTGGCGGAGTACTGGTATGCAGCTAGTATATATGTATATATATATATATATATATATATATATATATATATATATATATATATATATATATATATATATATATATATATATATATATATATATAGTTTTAAGTATACTCGAGACACCTGTCATTTTGTGAGTCCATAGAGGGCAGCTCCAGCTCCATTATAACCTCAACAGCCTATATTATTGTCGTTCACATTCATACCATTGTTAGCTGTATAAATAAGCCATCTGGTGTAAGTCATTTTGTTCTAAAATCATAATGCCACAGAATCACTCAGTTACAATTAAGCATATTGATACACCAACACCACACACAACAAATTTCAATTATGGGAGTTATGTGTGTAATGCAATGATAATATTCTGTCTGATTCGGTTTGATTCGAAACAATTAAAACAACAAACAACACTGTCTAGCCGTTGAATCTCACAAGGATCATTAAGTAAAAAAACAATCAAACATAACATCATATCAGAACCACAAATACTTACCGAGAACAAAGTATATCATAGTAACACCACAACAGCTTGAAAAAATTACACAAACATCTTAACCGACACATTCTTAAAGCTTTATTAAACAATAAGAATATAACCAAAACATAAAAAAAAAAATTAAACAATAGCTCTACAACTACATTTACACAACACCATGAGCCAACATCTCTGTAAGTGTATGACCATAATACCATAACACCCTCCCAACACAGTCACTAACTCATGTTTTAGTAACTAACTCATGTTTCAGTAACTGTCTCATATTTCAGCCACTACCTCACACTAGCTCATTTTCAGCCACTACCTCACACTACCTCATTTTCAGCCACTACCTCACACTACCTCATGTTTCAGCCACTACGCCAAGCTGGGACTTAAGAACCCCATCAACTACGCCTCCTGGATGGGCCTGGGCTTGCCTGTCGCCTTTATTGTACTTATGTTGTGTTGGTGCTGGCTGCAGGTGTTTTTCTTATCGTGCAGGTAAGTTGGACTTAATTTACCTCCCCATTGGCATTAAATTAATTGTTAAAAATTAATGAAATGTTAATCCGATTACTAAACCATTTGTTTAACATAAAAGAATATGTAAAAAGATCAAATAAATTGCCCATGTTTAGGCGGCGTCCTACCAACGCAGCCCAGGCCGAAAGAATAAAACTCTACATACACAACGAATACAAGAAACTGGGACCGCTTGTGTAAGTGTGAGGTTTGTTGCATCAGATACAGATATTGAGTTGGGACCACTTGTGTGTGGGGCTGTTGCATTAGATACATATATTGGGTTGGGGCCACTGGAGTAAGTCTGTGGCTAATTGTATCAGATACAGATATTCGGTTGGGACCACTGGTGTGTGGGGCTGCTGCATGAGCCCACAGTTTTAGATGAGCTTACAGATTTAGATATTTTTTTGTAGGATTATGCGCTTGAAAAAACCCATCTCGACAAACGGTGTAGGACGAAGAAGATGGCAAAACGCGCATGAAAAAAACAGTAACGAAATAATTTCATAGCCTGAGCACGTCGTTCTTGGGAATCGTCAGATGACCAAAATTTTAATTAAAATTCTGACGGGGGATGGTGGAGTGTGTATGTGGGAGTGGGGTGGAGTGGTGTGGTGTTAGGAGAATGTAGAATAGCATCCCTTATTTTAATGCCCTGTGTACTTCCATTAAAATTATTGTTGTGAAAACCATTAGGAAAAGTAGCAGATATTAATACAACTGTATCTGTGTTGGAAAATAGGTCTGCTTCATTTGCCAGTTGAAAGCTTTAGCTGAAGTAACATATTTTAAACTACACTTTTTGGTGTTCTCAAGTTTATATGTGTGCTGTAATATACAGTAACACGATTGAAATGTGGCTGTTTGGTTGGCTCTAGGTTTGGCCAGGGTGTCATTGTGTTCCTCCTCCATGTGCTGTAACATAGAGTAACACTCTGCTCTTTGATTGGCTCTAGGTTTGGCCAGGGTGTCATTGTGTTCCTCTTTGGTGTGCTGGTGGTGCTGTGGATAACACGTGACATGGGGGGCGTGGCCGGATGGGGAAGGATGTTTCAACTACCGTAAGTTGAAGATGCTAGTCACTTTCTCTGGATCCAAAAGTTGACATGACATAGCAACAAACATAGATAATACGCGGCCAACCACACAGACTGGCTCTATAGTCTCTCAAATTAACTGGAAATAACTGAATTTAAAAGACACAAAAAACAACAAATTAATATAATCATGGAGGTTAACGTCATTCTTGAAAGAAAACGCATGTTACATTCCTATTAAGAACGAAGAAGAAGAAAATGATTTGTCTTTCTAATCAGCTTAGTTGTGAGTTGTGACAATATTGGATCGCTGTGTGCGTATTTCAGAGTCCAAGATGGCGCCGCAGCTATATTTATAGCGGTCCTACTTTTCGCCTTCCCATCCAGTCTACCATGTATCAAATCTAAGCAAGATCCTAAGCAGCCTATCAAAACTACAGACAATCAAACAGATCCGATCAATGTTGAAGTCGGCAATAGTAAGTTCTTATAAAACTTAAACCATCATTTTTATGTTTGAAACTTATAAAACTAGGAAGGTATTCATAAAGCGGATATCGTAGAATACATGTTCATTTTACCCCAGAGTATAAAAGTTTTTTGTGGTTGTTCCTATTCAGTCTAATTCACTTTCACAGAACAATTTACTTTATCGTTAAAGGTGAAGACAGGGAAGTGAACTCGACACTTTTATGTTGGTATTCATGTACTCTACCACTTGACTCCCACAATTCACTGTAATCACCAATGGCGTGAATGAAAGCTAATTACTTGATCTAACCTGTCCCAAAGTTTTGAAGGCCTGTAAATTAATTTGATAAGATTGGTTAATGTATTGTGAAAACATGTTTGTTTTCCTCAGTCGGAGCGCCAGAAATTCGACCACTGCTCAGCTGGCGAGCTGCCCAAGAAAAAATACCCTGGCAGTTATTCTTTTTGCTGGGTGGAGGGTTTGCCTTGTCTAAAGGTAGTGAGGTAAGCAAACATTGGTGGTTAATGTTTTTGAAGATACTGAAGATGAGACTGAAGATAATTAAAATAACTCTATTTGGGTGGGATAGGTTGGCTGAATGTTGTGAAATATTTGCTATAAAAATAAAATAAAACTCAATTCACATTTATACCCATTACATTTATTCTTAAAACTTTGAAGCAAAGCATCATACTTTTTTTTTAAATCGGTGCATGATTTTGTTTTCACATTTTAATTTCCAGATAGAAGTTTGTACTTAAAACAACAAATTGTTCAGTGACAATTTACAGTAACTGTCATTTACGTTTTTTTTACGTGAAGAAATCTGGTCTCTCTGCTTGGATTGGTCAAGAACTTGAAGTGTTTAGCAGCTGGAACCAATGGGGAATATTGTTCATGATCTGTTACATCACAGCTGCTGCCACGGAAGTGACGTCAAACATGGCCATCGCTAATCTATTTTTACCCATCGTGTCACAGTTGGTAGGTTGGGATGCGGACACTGGGTCAACCCCTCAACATCATTCCTCCCCCCCCCCCCCACGTCACACAAATCTGAATCACCCCAACACAACATACTTTCTCCCACTCGCACGATGTACTGTCATCACTCCTTTTTTTTTTAAAGTATGAAATTTTTATTTGAAATATTAGAAGAAAGAAAATATAATTAATACAAAGACTTACAATGCTGGATCACATATGCTCAGCCAACAGAAAAGTTTCCATTCTTTTAGTACTCCCAAATATAGTATCTAATACTCCACAATTAAAGAATTAAGTGCTTTGTAAAACAAATTTCTTATTAAAAACTATTTCAACAATAGGTATACAGTGTTCTTTTTGCTAAATACTCTGCAACCAGTCAAAGTGATGTGACCTACTTAGGTCTAGTGATGTTTTATTTTGACATTGTTATAATACCATATATGGTTGATGGTGCAACAACCGGGTTTTTTCCACTGTCTTACTAAGAGTGTCTAAGACTAAGAAATTTTCCATCAAGATCTGATTGATTGATTCAGATCAGATGACCACCCCAACCAATGGCCACATGAGTTGAGGATAACCTCCCCTGTTGCCTAAGTCTATAACTAGATCGCCCACAGGCAGCACGCGGCAGTCCGTTCTGACCAAGCAGTCCATCTTGACCAGGCCGTCCATCTTGTCCGGCAATCCATTCTGACCATTTGAACGTGAGAGAGTTTAAGTCCTGAGTGTGCTATGCATTCTTAAGTTGTTTAAGTATTCTAGTATTATATTACTTGAGGCCAAGTGATTCTTGATGCTATAGCAGTGTTGTGTGACCTGTGGCTATTTTTATACAGTGTTAGAATCTGTGATAGTATTTTTTCTTACGCTTTGTAAGTTGGGTTTTGTTATTTTCTAAACTAAATATTTTATCTTGTTTAACCTTGTGATCTGCCACAACTGTGTTCGCTTATTAAAGGTTGTATGCAGATTGGATGAGTTGTTAACTTCAATAGTATCACTAGTTTTCCCTAGACATCGAAATCGAGCCCTAGTGTGTTGTTGAGTTAGTGTTCATTCATTTAGGCTTTAAGCCATTTGCATATAACCCCAAGAAAGAATCCGGGGGCGTTCACCATCTATCTGGCTGGTAGATAGGTAAACGTTACAAAGTGGGGGCTCGTCCGTGATTTAATCTGTCGTTCCAGTTGTTGGTTGTATCAGTTAAACACTAAGTTTAGTTTGATTTAGTTGTTTTTCTATCCAGTGGAGCCGTGTTATTAAAACGCGCGCAAGGCTAGGAGTTATCTAGGTCAAAAGCCAGACGTGTCACGTCCTAGATTGAAGAGGTCAAGTCCATAACGCAGCGTTGGGCCGTGTTAATTTAGAGAATCTAGGCTTGTTGTGATTTTGAAGTTAGTGTTATGGAGTCTTTCTTATCTAATCCCACTGTTGAGGAGGTAGAAAAGTTGAGTAGGAAAGTTTTGATTAGTGTTGTTAAGGAATTGAAATTGGATTATTCTGTTACGCAGAAATCAGAGGTGTTGAGAGATAAAATTGTTGTTCATTTTATTAATGAAGGTGTATTTGATGAAAGTTTGTTGGCTGGTGTGATACTCCGTGAGGAGAAACCTCTAGAAGAGAGGGAGCTTTTATTAAAAGAAAAGGAGTTAGAGGCTAAAATTGCTTTAGATAAGAGGAGGTTGGAATTAGAATTTGGTAAAGTTAATGGAGATGTCACTTCTCTGATAGATCCAAAAAAGTTGTCGGTGGGGCAAGTGATTGCCAAATTTGGGAAATTAGTTCCTAAATTTGATGAAACAGATTTGGTCGTTTTCTTTAACTCATTTGAGAGTTTAGCGAAGACATGTGAATGGACCGAAACTTCCATTACTGCTTTATTGAGCATGGTCCTTACAGGGAAAGCTGCAAAAACATACCAGGCACTCTCTCACGACGTTCAAAATAACTATAGTTTGGTCAAGACTGCCATTTTGAAGGCCTATGAACTGACGCCCGAGGCCTATCGGATAAAATTCCGAGCACTCCGCAAGTTACCCACTCAATCATATGTGGAATTTCTCTTTGAAAAAGAGAAAATTTTCTCAAGGTGGCTACACTCTGAGGAAGTTTCTGAGTTTGAGAGGCTCAGATCACTTATCCTGAGGGAAGAATTCCTAAAGTCCCTGCCTGAAGATATACGACTACACATACTGGATAACAAGATAATTGACATCCAGAAGGCTGCTGAGTCGGCTGACACATATATGTTGGTGCATAAGAAACCACCAGTGTCAGGAAACCGCCTCAACCCCGTGCTTCCCCTTTTTGGCAGCAATCCTCCTGTTGGTCAACACTTGAAGGCATCACAGTCCAGAGAGAAACCAAGATCAACTCTCAATCGTCGAGCAGTATGTCAGTTCTGCAAAAGACCTGGTCATCTTGTCAAGGACTGCTACAAACGTCTTCAATTTAACAGAGAGGTGGTGCGTACTTCTGCGCACTATGCTCTATCCCCTCAAGCAACCGGTTCAAATATGAACTCTAGAATTCTAAGGGACGCTAACCCTAAGTGTCCGCAAGAAGGCAGTCAAGTCTCCACACATTATGTGCAGTCACATTTTGATTGTTCACGCCACCATCCAGTTTCTTCCGAGTCTACCGATCTCGAGGGATCGAGAAAGGTTGACTTTTCATCTTTCATTACCGAAGCTATCATTAGCAAACCAGGTGATCCGTTGTCTCAGCGGAATATCACCGTCCTAAGAGACACAGGAGCGTCACAGTCACTTCTTTTGAAAAGTTCAATGAACATTACACCGGAGACGAACACCGGAAATGTTTCCATTATCCAGGGAGTGGGGACAAAATCTACTGTAGTCCCTCTACACAAGTTTGCCCTGAAACATCATCTCGTCGAAGGCGAAGTCATTTTAGGTGTGATAGATAGTATTCCTGTCCCAGGAGTACACCTACTTCTAGGGAATGACCTTGCGGGAAGCAAAGTATACCCCTGTACGGTTCTAAACCCTTTGTCAACAGTTCCAGATAATGATAATGAACTGTATCCTGCATGTGTGGTGACAAGAAGCCAGACCAAACAATTGGCTGACACAACGTCTGAACCACACCTACCATCATCGTCAAGAAATTCGACTCCCAAACTGGAGTCTACGCTTCCAGAAAACACAAGCCTGGGCTTACCCCTGAGGATATCTCAGGAAGACATCATTAAAGCTCAACAAGTCAACGCGGAACTCAAAGCAATGGTCGAAAAATCTCTCTCATCTGACGATGGGGAATATTTCTCCGAGAACGGCCTCTTCTTTCGTCGCTCTGTACCAGTGGATGCCTCACCAGCCGAACCATGGTTGGGTAAAAACCAGCTGTGGGTCCCTCCACCTTATCGGCATGAAATACTGAAACTGGCACATGACCATCCAATGTCAGCGCACCCAGGAGTCACTAAAACGACGGCGAAGATCAAAGAACTGTTCTTTTGGCCCAAAATGAGAAATGATGTGTCGCGTTACTGCAAAAGTTGCACGAACTGTCTGTTGGCCGGAAAGCCAAACCAGAAAATTCCTAAGGCCCCATTGAGTCCGATTCCTGTATTAGAAGAACCCTTTTCTAAAATCATCATGGACTGTGTAGGTCCCTTGCCTAAAACCAAGGCGGGCAACGAGTACCTACTTACCTTTATGTGTTCAAGTACCCGTTTTCCCGAGGCGTTCCCCTTACGGAACATTAAGGCAAAGACTGTAGTCAAAGCCATGACCCGGTTCTTCACTACCTTTGGATTACTTAGAATCGTTCAAACAGACCAAGGCAGCAACTTCACCAGTCACCATTTTCAGGAAGCGCTAACCAAGCTAGGCGTTACCCACATCACCAGCTCAGCCTACCAACCTCAGTCTCAAGGCGTACTTGAGAGGTTCCACCAGACCCTAAAATCCATGCTAAGAACATTCGCTAAAAGTAACACCCAATGGGATGAGAATGTTCCATGGATTATTTTCGCCGCTAGGGACTGTGTCCAGGAAGCTTTAGGTTACTCTCCTTTTCAACTTGTGTTTGGACATTCTGTCCGTGGTCCCCTGAAGCTGATCCACGAGCGTTGGACAGGTACCAGTGATCATCCAGTGGAAAACTTTGACGATTTTCACGTTCGACTGAAAGCCGTGTGCGAAATGGCTCACAAGAACTTAAGAAAGGCCCAAGTGAGAATGAAAGGACTGTATGATAAGAGTTCTCGTAAACGAACATTCAATCCAGGCGAGAAAGTTCTTGTGCTAGTGCCTAATCTGAACAATGCGTTATCCTTAAGATATTGTGGACCCTTTACTGTGCATTCAAAATTAAGTGATTTGAACTATGTTGTCAATACGCCTGACAGAAGAAAGAAACAGACAGTGTATCATGTTAACTCACTGAAAAAGTATTATGATAATTGTAACAATTTTCATTCCACAGCTAAAATTACTTTACCTGTATGTTCAAATGTTTCTGATGATGTGATACATGATAAATTGAAACCCCCAAAATTGGTAAATTCTTCCTTTTTAGATCATCTAAATGACCACCTTATGCATTTGTCCACAGAGGAAAGCCATAAATTGTCTCAGTTATTTGAGACATTTCCCTCTATTTTTGGGGATGTCCCCAAAGAAGCGAAGGTTCCACCTCATGATGTAGACGTAGGTGATGCAAAACCCATCAAACAACACCCCTATAGAGTTAACCCGGAAAAAGCTGTTTTGATAAAAGAGGAAATTGATTATATGCTCAGGAATGATATCATTGAACCCAGTTTCAGCAACTGGAGTTCCCCATGTCTTCTAGTCCCGAAAGACGGTGGATCTTTCAGGTTTGTGACCGACTTTAGGAAGGTAGATGCGCTCACCAAAGCTGATTCCTATCCATTACCTCGAATAAAAGACGTTATTGATAAAGTTGGTCAAGCTAAGATAATTTCCAAAATTGATTTACTTTCAGGATACTGGCAAATCCCCTTATCTGACCGTGCAAAAGAAATATCTGCTTTTGTAACCCCTAATGGTTTTTATAGATACAAACGTATGCCCTTTGGTATGCGAAATGCTGGTCAAACTTTCCAGCGGGTCATTAACTCTGTCATTGCTGACATAGACCAATGTGAGGCCTACATAGATGATATAGTTGTATTTTCCAATACTTTTGAAGAACATATTATTCAGTTGACTAACCTTTTTAGAAAATTGTCTGAAGTTAATTTTACTGTAAACCTGCATAAAAGTGATTTCTGTAAAGGTTCAATTACCTATTTGGGTTATCAAGTGGGAACGAACCAAGTTAGGCCCATTGAAGCTAAAGTAGATGCTATTGTAAAGTTGCCTCCTCCCAAAAATTGTAAAGAAATCAAAAAGTTCCTTGGGATGGCTGGTTACTATAGGCGGTTCTGTCAAAACTTTTCAGCTGTTGCTGAACCTCTTACTGCATTATTGAAAAAGGGTGTTGAGTTTGAATGGTCAAATAAATGTCATGAAGCTTTTTTAAGTCATTTTTATCTAATGCTCCTGTTATGGCTGCCCAAGATTTCAGCAAGCCCTTTAAACTTGCCATTGATGCTAGCAACTTAGCCATTGGCTCAGTCTTATTTCAAGAAGACAACATGGGGATTGACCATCCAATTGCTTTTTTTTCCAGGAAGTTAAATGAGAACCAAAAGAATTACTCTACTATTGAAAAAGAAGCTTTAGCTTTGGTTTTGTCCTTACAACATTTTGAAGTCTATGTCACTTCTTCAACCAATCCAGTCAGAGTGTTTTCTGACCATGATCCCCTGAAATTTACCTCTAAGTTAGGACAGAAGAATCAAAGAATATTGAGATGGTGTTTATATTTCCAAAATTTTAATCTGGAAATTTCCCACATTAAGGGTATTGATAATGTTGTGGCTGATTGTTTGTCAAGGATGTAAAATCTTATTACACACATTGATCATGTGACATGTTTTGTGGTTCATTAGGACCATACACAAGAGTTTTGTTTGGGTGACACTCACATGAATGTGAGTGGTATGAGTTTTGAATTTTTCAAAATATCAATCCTGTTGAATATTTTGTTTATTTTTAGGTGAACCTTAATTAAAGGTGGTTTTTGATTATATGTAATCTTCTATGATAATATGTCTCATATGACTCAGTTGATATTGTAGCTAGTCATTGAAATAAAGGTTTTACCCTGTCGGGTTTACCGCTTTTAATATCCACATGGAAATATTGTAATACCCTTTTTTGAGGGATTTGGATGTATAATTATTGTTTTGAAGGGTTACTCCCCTTTCACAAATTGTAAAAGTTTGAGTTACTTCCCTTTTGTTTCCAGTGATGTTTTCATCTGGTATTAAGATTTTGATTGACTACATTTGTAGAACATTTTTTTTTATTTCATTGCCAGATTGGTTCCTTATGTATGTTTTTGTGGAACCTATCTGTCACTTCCAAAAAGGGAGGGGATGTGACCTACTTAGGTCTAGTGATGTTTTATTTTGACATTGTTATAATACCATATATGGTTGATGGTGCAACAACCGGGTTTTTTCCACTGTCTTACTAAGAGTGTCTAAGACTAAGAAATTTTCCATCAAGATCTGATTGATTGATTCAGATCAGATGACCACCCCAACCAATGGCCACATGAGTTGAGGATAACCTCCCCTGTTGCCTAAGTCTATAACTAGATCGCCCACAGGCAGCACGCGGCAGTCCGTTCTGACCAAGCAGTCCATCTTGACCAGGCCGTCCATCTTGTCCGGCAATCCATTCTGACCATTTGAACGTGAGAGAGTTTAAGTCCTGAGTGTGCTATGCATTCTTAAGTTGTTTAAGTATTCTAGTATTATATTACTTGAGGCCAAGTGATTCTTGATGCTATAGCAGTGTTGTGTGACCTGTGGCTATTTTTATACAGTGTTAGAATCTGTGATAGTATTTTTTCTTACGCTTTGTAAGTTGGGTTTTGTTATTTTCTAAACTAAATATTTTATCTTGTTTAACCTTGTGATCTGCCACAACTGTGTTCGCTTATTAAAGGTTGTATGCAGATTGGATGAGTTGTTAACTTCAATAGTATCACTAGTTTTCCCTAGACATCGAAATCGAGCCCTAGTGTGTTGTTGAGTTAGTGTTCATTCATTTAGGCTTTAAGTCATTTGCATATAACCCCAAGAAAGAATCCGGGGGCGTTCACCATCTATCTGGCTGGTAGATAGGTAAACGTTACAGTGACAATGTTTCAATTTTTTTTAAAGTTTCATATGCAATATATATATATATATATATATATATATATATATATATATATATATATATATATATATATATATATATGCCCCAGACACGTAATTTACAGCATCAGTTGTGTGTATTCGCTTTATTATTACAGTTTTCATCACCGCCTTGTGAGGACTGATACAGATTTACAATAGTAATATTTCTTTCTTACTTGTAGCCTATTTTCATTCATTTAAGACGGTTTAAATCAGGAGTGGCAATTTTTCTGGTGGTACTCTGTGAGGTATCATCTATCTCTACCAACTCTATAACATGTACACAAAACTATATCCATTAGGTTTTATCCGTTGGAGTGTTGGAGGGCATTTCCTCCACTACAACACAATTACGAATTACATTTCAACATGTTATGTGCCATATAGTCTGTAGACTCATATTTCATCCTGCCTTTCTTTCTGGATGAGATTCAATAACCTCAGTCCAACGAAGAACAAACCACAAGGGAGCAGTTATTGTTTAATTTTGGAGTTGTTTCCCTTATATGGGACTCTGTCCCCAACTGTCGAGTCTCACCTGAACGTGGGTTTAAAATGGACCCCATCCCGATTTCTATGTCATCAAGATTGTAAAAATAAATCTACATAGCAGTAAAAAGCTGCTTAATGAATTGAGAAATGCATGTTGCCTTGGTAAATTCGGCTTATTTTCGTTTTAGTCTAACTTTTTGAGTTAGCGTAACTCGGCGAGAGAGCGATCACATTATCCTACCTGTGACGTTGCTGCTTCAAATCTTTACAACAATTTTAATCAGGCTATCACCACTCCCCCATCATTTCGATGCTTCTACTTCAAATCTTCACAAAACCTATCACCACTCCTCTCCTTGTAACACCACTATTTTAAACATTCACAAAACCTTTCACCAGTATATCACACCTCCCACTTGTAACGCCACTACTTTAAAGTCTACAGGAAAATTATCATAGTCTGTCTCCCCTCCACTCCTTTGTGACGCCACTGCTTAAAACATTCACAAAACCTATCCCCAGGCAATCAACACTGGCGTCCACCCTCTGTACTACATGCTGCCCACCACACTGGCCTGCACATTCGCCTTCATGCTGCCCGTAGCTACAGCACCCAACGCCCTTGTCTTCTCGTACGGCAGGCTTAGTATGAGGGATATGGTGAGTACCTAGTTCATTTGGGATATGGTGAGTGCATTGTTAATTTGGGATATGGTGAGTACATAGTTCATTTAGTGTATGGTGAGTACATAGTTTATTTGGGATATGGTGAGTGCATAGTTTATGAGGGATATGGTGAGTGTATAGTTCATTTACTATATGGTGAGTACATAGTTCATTTGGGGTATGGTGAGTACATAGCTCACTTGGGATATGGTGAGTACATAGCTCACTTGGGATATTGTGAGGACAAAGCATATTTGGGATATGGTGAGTACATAGTTCGTTTAGGATATGGTACGTACATAGTTCATTTGGGATATGGTGAGAAAATAGTCCATTTGGGATATGGTGACTACATAGTTCATTTGGGATATGGTGAGTGCATAGTTTGATGGATATGTTGAGTACATGGCTTCATGTTTTTTATCGTTTACTACATTTGTCTTCTTGTTTCCAAAACTAACTATGCTTTACATAATAAACATACACACGTATGAACAAATGGAAATATAATGCACGTTTCAATCAATAAGAGATGAACCGCAATGTCTTGGGCATTTAATGATGAATAGTATTTATAACATAGATTTTCCTTTCATTTTGTGCTTGAGGCGACATAGGCCTTGGTGTACTCGCAATGTCAAGGCACACCGCTTTTTTTCATTGGTCTTATATTCCCTGCACAATCGTACATATGTGTCTTACATTACCGGCATACCCTTAGCTGTGAATCTTACTTTACTTGCGCAAACGTACATTGTGTCTTATATAACCTGTGTTACACCCTAGGCCGTCCTCATTCCCAAATGTTACACACCCGGGTAGTGCCCCTACCCAAATGTCTTATACCAACTATTTTACACCCCAGGCTTTTCCCCCACTCCCAATGTCTTATACCATCTACATGACAACCCCAGTCAGTGTCCCACTATTGATGTCTTATACCACCTATATTACACCCCAGGCTGTCCCCCCACCCCCAATGTCTTATACCACCTATATTACACCCTAGGCACAGACTGGTCTAATGTTGAACCTACTGGCCGTGCCGTGCTCCATCGCAGTGACCTCCACAATTGGTGACCTTTTGTTTGACTTCGCTAATGTACCTGTAGAGTTTCTAAACTCCACTGCAAGAGAAGAATAACAGACAGGTGTAGAAGCCAGGTGTGGCACACAGGTCTCGCAGATGCTACCCCACACAGTTATGACTGCTAATCTACACTGAACTCTTGGAATGTTGATATATTGTAAATAAAGACATGAATATCTTGTGTTTCTCGTTTTTTTTTTCTCACCTAAATTGAGAAATAATTTTTTGCGAATAAAGTAACAAAATCGCTAAAAAAAAAACAACTAAGATTTGTCTTGATGCTCAATTTTCAATACGTTTACAAGTGTTGGTCAATCACTTGTTACATCGGAGACTCTAGATCCAGCGGGATGACACTGACATTTCTGAACTCTTGGCTTTTTTGTCTTACACACACAAGCAATAGCAAGACAAGACTAACAGTGCTGCTAATTTTTCTACATGTCTGGGTCTGTTCATCTAGAGAGGGACAAGTCATCGATATCATTTTACAGCATTCCTATAACATTGGTCTAAGTAGTCCTAGAAAAAGTGGAAAGATTCATTTACATTGGAGGCATTGCTGAAAAGCCAGGAGAGACAGAAGAAGATATTAACTTTTCGTAGTTGGATTAGATATTTTATTGATTATTGTAGGTGCATGAGGTTTATGTTAGGTCCAGGTGTATAGCATATATGCAAGATGTAGTTGCATGAGGGGGTCGTCGTGGTCGAGTCGGTAAAGCTCATGGTTGCTAAACAAAAAAGTCTCGAGTTTGAACCCTGGGTACAGCCACTCTTCTAGGAGAGACAACTCCAAAAAAGAAAAGCAGGCTGAAATCGGAGTCAATTGCCTCAATGGCGCATAACCAGTTGACACGTATCCTTAATTATGATGGAGGTGTGGTCGAGTCGGCAAAAGCTCATGGTAGATAAATTCGAAAAAAAGTTTCGAGTTCAAACCCTCTGACAGATAAGGCTCGATCCCTTCCAACACTAAAAATTAAGAACGAAGAAGAAGAAGAAGTTGCAAGAGGTATGTTCAGGGTTAAATGCAAAGTTAATCTTAGGGTTCTATAATCTGTAGGCGTATCTTTCGTTCACATTTTTACTGTGCTATGAATTAAATATTTTTGATGTTTATCGAGAACGGATCGTCAGGTCTCGTGGGTTAAGGTTGTCGTCTTTATTTTAAAATTATCAAAAATGGTACACAGCGTATTTATTGACTAACTTGCTTGCAATATCAATATTAAAAGGTTGTGTCAACTATTCCAGCAATGACAAAATTTGTGAAAATTATCTCAGAAGTGATGTATTTGACATTAGCTGACAACTATGTTAGTAATATCGAACTCTACTGCCCTTTACATCTATAATAATAGTTTCCCTGTCTGTGTATCTGTGTCTCTATCTATATATGTATCTGTTGGGTACGCTTTTACTATAGAGGAAACGCAAGCAGAGCATTACCGACTAACTCATTTGTCTAATCTTAAAAGTGGTTTGTGTGAAGAATTTCTTTCATGCATCTCTTCGAGTAGGGTATTTTGTGACTACCATGCTTGCAATGAAAACAGCTGATTGTTTAACGGCAGTGTTCACCACCGTGGCGGCGGACGTAGGTATCACGTGATTTAGATCACGTGTTTGCAAGGAATACGAATTCTACAGCTAATATTACGATTTAACTCTGTGTCTCGTGGCTAATTTCAATTAGCCTTTTTTAAAAGTGTAGTCCTTGGTCACATTTAATGTTAATTGTACATTACAATTTTCAAATTTGGTGTGTTTAACTAAATGCTTGTATGAAAATGTATTCATTTTAAATCTGATGTGTTTTATTTAAATTAGAAATGCGTTTACGTTTGTAATAGTGTCGGGTTTATGAAATTAATTTATTTTAAAATACAAGTCTATCTGAAAGTAACATGTTTAGGATTTTATCACCCAAACCTTTAAAATTAAAGGCTATAAATTACACAGGAACTATGGTCACAAGAACGAAAGTAAAGGTACTCAACAAATACACAGTGATAAGAACATGAACAAAATAAATACACGAAGCACCTATAATTTGTAGTTTATGTTATGCATGTGAATGCACGATTTTTACGCCAGTAATATCATTACATAAAACATAATTGTTCAGTTCACACGTCGTGCGTTGCATAAAGTTAACAGCGTCAACCACTTCTACACCGACCCCTTCAGTTCCGCTAGAGATAACCAAGTTAGAGACAATGTCGCGCACTAAGTCGCTTGACATGTAAGGCCATCTAAGGGTCCTGGGGATTTTCCCGAAAACCCGTGTAGTACAACAGAGATTGTGGGAATTTCCCATAGTCCAGGACCTACTCAAGAGTTTAAAACTCTATTTTTTTTCACACTGCAATAAATAAATAAATAAATAAAAAGAATCTTGGTATGAAACAAAGATCACACAAGAGTTCTAAAATAGTTTGACTATCTAAGGCTTCTAGTGCTTTAAGATCAATATGTTGTTTCAGATCAATACGGACATTTTAATTTCGGAATAATTATTTGTTAGCATGAACATCTCAATTTCATTATTAATATTACACATTTTTCTACTTCAATAGAATCACCATTTCAAAGAAATATTGGTTTATATATATATATATATATATATATATATATATATATATATATATATATATATATATATATATATATATACATATACATATACATATACATATACATATACATATACATATACATATATATATATATATATATATATATATATATATATATATATTTTTTAACGGTGATTTTTTTTCTAGCATAGTATACTACGTAGTAATTGGCCATATTTCCGTTAAGTAGCAAGGATACAATATGCTTAGATACTATATTCAGACGCATTTTTGTTTTAATAATATAAAAACTGAATTATTTTAAGATAGTAGCAAGGATTCTGTGTAGGCCTATGCTTAGATAGAAAATTCATTTCGCAATGGTGTTTTTTTTTACATAGAATATGAAATTTTAATAAGCTACCATAGTGATAAAAAAAAAAAGAAGTAGTTATTTGAAAAAATCAATCCGAGCTGAACTGCACGAGGTTTGTTTTCCCCCAGCAAACCATGTTTTCAATATTTTGATATTTTGAAAGCACAAAGAAATCATCGGCTTTAGTCAGTAAATAAAATTTTAAACGTTTTGTTTTATTATGAGAAACTGAGACCATCAAACTAGCCTTTATTTAAATAAACTTATCACATCAGACTTAATATTAAATAAACCTTTGCATGCTTTAAATTCAAAGATAGTCTTTTACTAAGATAATCTAAGCTCTATATTTTATTTAAGTTAAACATTATCTCCGATTTTTTAAAACATTTACTTCAACTTCCTCCTTGAATGTCGTGGATGGGTGTGGTGGGGATGGCAGGGGTGAGGTGGGGGAGGCTACACGAGTGTCAAGACTAAGAGTAGTATAATCGAAAGGTTCTATCGGTTGTGTCGCCCCTGGTCTAACGTCATTATACGAGCCGGTGAACCACATACAGTCACACCGCGGCCTACTTTCTTTAGGAAAATTTGCTGTCAACAGATCCGGGTACAAACTTCCGAACTTTTAATTTTAAATCCGTTTTCTAATTTGTTATCTAATGGGTCGCTCTTAAAATACACTGGACATTTAATTACTTTACTTAAGGGGAATTTTGTATTAGTCATTTCAATTTTCAGGAAAAAGCAACTCTCCAACGTACACACGTTATTTACTTATTATTTATCTTATATATCAACCTATAAACGTATATATATATATATATATATATATATATATATATATATATATATATATATATATATATATATATATATATATATATATATGTACAAACACATACACAACACACACACATACGTAATATACATATATATATATATATATATATATATATATATATATATATATATATATATATACAAACACACACACACACACACACACATATATATATATATATATATATATATATATATATATATATATACCGTACAAAATATGCATTTAACTTTTTTGTTTACAATATTTGTTATAAAAATATAAAAGGATAAACCCACAAGGTCAGCAGGAAAACCCGACTGACAATGTGACACGGATAATCCCAACTTTTCCTAAGGATAAAACCCCAGGATCACGAGAAAGTCGCAGTATCACCAGGATGATGTGCTTGTACCACTAGCAAGAGTCTAAGTGTGACAGTTTCGCTAAGACTGACAGGGAGATAATTACGTTCCTGTTAGATAACTGTGTCGTTAAATGCATACTTTAATCTACCAGAACAGCACTTATTATCACTGTAATTAATTTTCATTTAAAAAAATGTTATACGTGCATTTCTTTAATTGGATGAATTATTCAAGTGCGAATTAAAATGAACTCGATGTGGAGTTTTAGAGTTAGTTACATACCTATCAGCAGCTAGTACGAATAGCAGTTAAATTAATATAAAGCTACCGAATTAATTATTAATTAGCCACAGCTTGTGTACTATTGTGTTAAATATTTCCAGTGTTGACAAATACCCTCATTGTGTAGCAGGTGTATTACAGTATAACGTGTATGATGATTTAGAGAGTACGCTGTATACTATCAGGACATGAGCAGAATTATCACAGTATAGTGTCCAGGTTTATAGAGCACGCAGTCTACCATCACAGTACAGTGTCCAGGTTTATAGAGCACGCCGTTCACTATGAGGACCTGTCTACTCAATCAGCTGTGGGCATGGCGTACCGTGTTTATTTTAATTTTTACACCGTTTTTGTTGTTACCACTGATTCTTATCATTGGAACAAAGGTAGGTGGTTTTTTTGTAGTCTTAATTTAGTTATACGCCTATTTTAGTTTTAGTATCGTACCAAGACCTTTTTCTGTGTAAAGGGTATTAAATTCATTAAAAAAAGTATTTAAACAAAATTATTTAGGGGACGATAACACCAGCATGTTTTAAAGTGACAGAAAATACTATAGGTACACCCGGATGTATATTGTAATAGTACGTGTTAAAATTATTTAATTAGGGTTAAGGGTAGAAGGAAGATTTGGCTTAGAGCAATAAAACATTTGTGATAATGGAGGTAGGTGGTGTTATGGCCTAGCGGTAGAGAGCTAGAATGCTACCTTGAAAGTCTCAAGTCCGAATCTGGGTTCAAATAAATAGATCGTCCACGTTAGTGCAACAAAGGCGGCTGGGGATTGGGCTGACCCCAGTATCCCCTTGTATTCTGACGTAATTGTAACAGATGAACTCTAGATCATGTTTCTTGGGTACAAACGGGAAAAGATGATGAAGGTATAAAATGTATGGTTAAACAATTGTTTGTGTGGGGAAAGTTCACACTCTTTTTACTTTGTCGTATATACGAAGTATAGAGAAAGTCTTGTAATCGTGCAAAAAAAAAAAATCGAGATTTTTACAAATCTCGTCGTTTTACACCTCACTGATACGGAAAAACATAATTTTGCAATTTTTAAGTACTAATTTAAGCTATTTCCGATTTCTCAAAAAAGCATATACATTTATAAAGTACTAATAATATTGCGCACTATTATGCACATTTTGTTTTGGCGTTTGCTTGGTGCGCAATTCTTTTTTCTATGACATTCTATTCTATTTTTAAAAGTTAAGGTAATTAAAAATCATGTCTAAATTCCAAGTTATATAAAAATATTCGAGAAAGTTTAGGGGAGATCACTCCCGGTTTATTTAATGTTTACTAACGTGTGTCTATAATTTTATCAGTTTTAGTACCATTGATCGTAGCTGGAGTCCAGAAAATTATAATCAATAAAAAAAGACATCGTGACCAAATCTCTATATAGTTCAAATGGTAGATAAATTATTTTACATAGGTTTTAGTTATGGTTTTGGTAATGGTTATAGCTGTCTTAGTCAGACTGTCATCGCAATGTTAGGGCTGACATAAGTGCTTAACGTCTACGTTAAATTATGAACAGCTTAAATCATGTAAAAGGGCCTGAATCGTTTCTCTGCTGACACGGTGAAACTGTTTGGACAAGCCAGAGACTAAAGCGCTATTTGAATCAATGATGGATCTAATTGTTGAAGTTAGAAGAAAGTGTAAGGTTAGAGTGAAGGTTTAGGGTTAGGTTAGATTGAAGGTATAATTTTAGCTTATTATGAATACTAAGAGTTCGGCTCACTTAAGGTTTAATGTTATGCTTGGATTTTGAATTGCTTCATTATAGGATTAACGTTAAGGCTAATGCCCCCACCCCCCCCCCCCCCATTTCCCATGTTTAGATAATGTCTGGGAAAAAACTGTATTTAAAATCTAGTGTCAGATTAGAATAAAGGTTTAAGTTTAGTTTAAGTTTAAAATGAATTTTATATTAGAAAGAAGGTTGAACATTATATTAGAATGAAGGTTTAACACCATATAAGAATGAAGGTTTATGTTTAGATTAGAATGCAGGTTTAATTATAATATTGGCTCCATTACATGGTTATGCTAACATAATTCACCCTTTCTACCCCAGGAATCCAAATGTGGCTACGTGCTGATCTTGATGGGAATCTACTGGATCACCGAGTCCCTGCCTGTTGGAGTTACCGCCCTTATCCCCGTGTTTCTCTTCCCCTTCTTTGAGATTCTCTCGTCCAATGAAATCTCAGCTCAATACATGAATGTAAGCTGCTGGCTATGTACAACAATTCAAACATTGTCTAAAAATGGCGTCACACACTTCAGGGGGTTAAGGGGGGGGGGGGTGTAAGTACATGAACGAAAGCTAAGGTTTTTTATGAAAACAAAAACATATTGTCCAGAAATAGTGTCACACAAACAATCGGAGGGTTGAAAGTAAGATGGCGGCTTTTTACAAATCATGAAACAGGATGTATACATGGCGTCGCACAATAGGGGGAGGGGGTTAGTGGGAATTACATGAACGTAAGCTTAGATGAATAGCTAGCCAGTAGTTCAGTTTAAGTTGGTGTCTATTTTTAACAAAAATAAAGCATCGTCTATAAATGGCGTCACACAGGGGGTGGGGCAGTGTTTTTTGTGTCACAATTTGCTGCGTGTCTGTTAGCGATGAGTAAAGAATAAATATGGTGAAAGTGGGTGCTGGATGTTTTTGACAAAAGCCCGGTAGGACACTTGCCCGAATGGGACAAATGCCAACATAGAAACCTTTAAGGTTTAGCCGCATTCGTTTTCATGTGTTTCCTATCATACTGATTGGTTAATGTTTTAAGACGGCCGCCGTTGCCATAGTTACCAATATTTTCCTACCTTTTTTACATCGCTGAAGAGAAATAATTGTTTCCTTAAAGAGTATTAAAAAGTTTTTCTTTACCAGAGTCTACACCATTGAGTACATGTCTAGCAATGTCTTCCTCCCTCCCTCCCTCCCTCCCCAGGACGTGAACATGCTGAACCTCGGGGGTCTGGTCATGGCCGTGGCTATAGAGGAGTGGGAGCTACACAAGAGGGTGGCGCTCAGGGTTCTGATGTGTGTGGGGACGGAGCCTAGGTGGTAAGTGGGGTTTGTGTGGGGAAGTGGGGTTTGTGTGGGGAAGTGTATGGAAGTGGGGGGTTGTGGGGGGAAGAGGGGGGAAGAACGGTTTGTGTGGGGAAGTGGGGGGAAGTGTATGGAAGTAGTGTTTGGGGTCATACAACTACACATGATGGATTCGGAATGTGCAAATTAATTGATATACGAGTCCTGAACTAATTCTGTTGTTACAGTTGGATCATGTTTTCTGCTAAGGCATGTCTACGTCTATATGAACGATTATTTATTGCCTTTAGACTTATGTTAGGGATTATGTTAGCTAAATAGCTATACTAACAATTATTTCTCCCCTCTAGGCTAATGTTTGGGTGATGTTAGCCATAACGTTAAAATGATGTTAGCCATACACCTTTACTAACCGTTTCCGTACTGTAGGCTGATGTTGGGGATGATGTTGGCCACATGGTTCCTATCGATGTGGATGTCTAACACAGCCACCGCAGCTATGATGATACCTATAGCTGAAGCCATACTCTATCAGCTGCGCAGTGCTAAAGATGCATATAAAAACCCTGAAAGTACGAATTTTTAAAATCTCTTCTCAATCCACATTTTTTTTCTTTTTTTTTATTTATATGCTAATTTATAAATTATATTTATATTAAAATGAAAAAAAATCCATTAACGGCTCTTAAACTACTTTCATATTAAATTACAATTACTTTCATCATTTTTATAATGAATTATTACATTTTGTTTAATCACTTCTCATAATTTATTTTCAATATTTTCTCATCATAAATTACATTTTCTTAATAACTTCACATTTTAATTATATTAATTTAATCACTTCTCATCATAAATTGAGAGTAAATCAGGGAGTTAATGCTGGGTCTAAAATTAAACCCAATTTCTCTCCCTTCAATAGACATTCGTGGCAATAAACAGAGGAGTAAGGTTCAAAAGTTGCTATTACTTAAACTCTAAGCCCTCGGTTCTTATACTGTATTCGTAGGGCCCCAGTTTGATGTGCAGTGGACGTATGTTTTTTTATTTTTATTTTTTCTACATCTACAGGTGAAAACGGTTTTGTTGGTGCGGATACCAAGGAAACAGCTATAGACCTGGCGGATTTAAATTCAGAAGTGTAAGGTCTTTAATCCATAATCAACATATTTATAATGTTTAGTTTTTTGGGTGATAATTTATGAACTTGAATAAGTGTTATAAGGTATATAGGCCTACTTAATGCAAGAGTCATCTAGACATAGTTTAAGTATAAGCATCACGGAATACCTTGGCACGTATACTGTATGTTTATTGAATCGTATTAATTTATGCTTCAAATTTGTAATCTGGGTATTATCAACAAGTTCAGATATGCTTTTCAGGTTCCCAAAAGTATTTGCGTTTCGGATTTACAGGGGGTGATCAAGCAATATAATTTCAATATATTTTCTGTTTTCTCGTCAATATTTTTTTCAATTTAGTAAAGGTACGAGAAAATGACCCTAATTTGCGATATGGTTATAATTAACATTTTTTTAAAAAGAATTGGATAAGTATTTTAATAGTTTATTGAAATGTATTTTCGAATTTTTAAAGTTTTCAGTAGTATGCACTTCCTAGTTTGTAAAAACAATCCTTATGTCAAATGATATTCCAGTCACTACGAAAACGGAGAAAATGTAAATGACAAAGAAAATGCCCGGAAACAGAAATCGCTAGAAACAGAACACGTTAGGAGCTCCAATGACAAGAACGACGGGTTGACGGGGTTCGCTAAGGGGATCACACTCTGTATCTGCTACTCCGCCACGGCCGGGGGCACAGCCACACTGACAGGCTCGGGACCCACGCTCACCCTCAAGGCTCTCACCGATGTGTAGGTTCAGTTGATTTACACTAGTACATACATGATATATAGTACACTGTAGGCCAGAGTACATAGTAAACCACTTACAAAGGCTGAATTATCAAATGGTGGGTTGGGGTGGAAATCTTTTTTTTACACACACACACCAAGCACACATGCACACACATAAATTTATACATATTACATATATATATATATACATATATATATATATATATATATATATATATATATATATCAGTAACTATACTCGAGGCAGCTGTCACTCTGTCCATAGAGTCCATAGAGGGCAGCTCTAACCCCATTATAACCTCAACAGCCTATATTATTTCCGTTCTCATTCATACCGTTGTTAACCGTATAAATAAGCCATCTGGTTAAAGTCCTTTTGTTTTAAATTCATAACGCCACAGAATCACCCAGTTACAATTAAGCACATTGATACACCAATACGACACATATAAATTCAATTATGGGATTTATGCGTGTAATGCCTAAGGTCAATTGTTAACGTTCATGTCACACCGATTCGGTTTGATACGAAACACATAAAACAAAGAACAACACTGTCTAGCCGTTGAATCTCACAAGGATAAATAAGGAAAAAAAAAGAATCAAACATAACTCTCATATCAGAACCTCAAATCATTGCCAATAACACAGTATACGTATATCAAAGTAACACCACAACAACTTGAAAATTTTTACAAACACCTTAACCGACACATCCTAAAAGCTTTAAATAATAAGAATATAACCACAATACCACAACGAACACCATCAAACAATAGCTCTATAACTACATCAGCACAACACCATGAGCTAATATCTCTGTAAGTGTATCAGCATAACACCATAACACACCCCCAACACAGTCACTACCTCATGTTTCAGTAACTACCTCATATTTCAGCCACTACCTCACACTACCTCATGTTTCAGCCACTACCTCACACTACCTTATGTTTCAGCCACTACGCCAAGCTGGGACTTAAGAACCCCATCAACTACGCCACCTGGATGGGCTTGGGCTTGCCTGTCGCCTTTATTGTACTGATGTTGTGTTGGTGCTGGCTGCAGGTGTTTTTCTTATCGTGCAGGTAAGTTGGACTTAAATCTACCTGCCCATAAAGTTATCGTACAGGTAAGTTGGACTTAAATCTACCTGCCCATAAAGTTATCGTACAGGTAAGTTAGAATTAAATCTTTCTGTCCAGAAAGTTATCGTTTAGGTAAGTTTGACTTAAATCTACCCGCCCTGACAATTATCCTGCAGGTAAGTTGGATTTTATCTACCTGTCCATTGGCATTAAACTCAGCAATTAAAATTACTGCAATGTTAACCATATTAGTAATCCATTCGTTTAACATAAAAATTAGCATATGTAATGATGTAATATGTAATGATATCAAGTACCTTTCTCATGTTTAGGCGGCGTCCTACCAACGCAGCCCAGGCCGAGAGAATAAAACTCTACATACACAACGAATACAAGAAACTGGGACCACTGGTGTAAGTGCGCAGTTTAGTGCATTAGATACAGATATTAGATTTGGACCACTGTTGGGAGTGTGGGATTTCTATTAGATACAGTTATTAGGTTGGGACCACTGGTGTGAGTGTGTAATTTGCTGCATTAGATACAGAAATTAGATTAGAACTTATGATAATGAGAGGTTTACAACCACAGCTTCTCACATCAAATTAGCATGCATGGGGGCAGGTGTTGATGATTTATGAGCCCACAGCTTAAATTAAGATGAGCTTGCAGATCTAGATTTTCTTTTAGGATCACATGTCCGATGAATATTTGTTAATATCAGCTCTAGGGTTACCCTACCCCAGACTGTGCCCTCAGAGCCTTGACAGACGGTGTAGGACGAAGGAGATGGAAAAACTAACCTGAAAAAATAGTAACCAAATAATTTCATAGCTTGAGCAATGCGTTCTTGGGAATTGTCAAACGGCCAAAATTTTAAACTTCTGTTGGGGTGGTGGAGTAGGGAGGAGGAGGATAAATGTGTTTGGCATTTTAATGCTCTGTGTGCTCCCTTAAAAATATTGTTGAGAAAACCATTAGGAGAAGTAGCAGATACTAGTAGAGCTGTATCTGTGTTGGAAAATAGGTCTGCTTGATTTGCCAGTTGAAAGATTTAGCTGAAATATCTCTTTTTACGCTGTAGTGCGTTATGTTCGGTAATGAATTTATTGTTGAGTTGATTTATGTCATCCTAGTGCTAAGTGGAAAATGAACAGGGCATGAGTTCACTATTTATCGAAGTCTAGCAATAACTGAAAAATTGCCGGAATACATTTTCGGAAGCCGATAGGTTAATGACAGGTCACCCAGATAATTTTAAGACTCGCGTTTTAGTGTTGTTTGTACACGTTCAGCGAATATTTCTCAATAAATGATATTTTGTACTCTATTCTTTGCAGAAAAAAATCTTTTCAGAAATTACGTGCGATGTAATCAGGGGACATAGCAGTTACTAATGAAATTGGTGTGTTAGGCTATTAATAGCTTAGAAAAATATTTAGTTAGTGTGGTTTCATGAAGCACTGGTATAAAACCTTCCCAGAGTAGCAATAGTAACATATTTTAAACGACACTGTTTGAGATCCTCAAGTTTTTGTGTGTTCTGTAATCCAGAGTAACACAAATGTGGCTGTTTGATTGGCTCTAGGTTTGGCCAGGGTGTCATTGTGTTTCTCTTTGGTGTACTGGTGGCGCTGTGGATAACACGTGACTTGGGGGGCGTGGCCGGATGGGGAAGGATGTTTCAACTACCGTAAGTTTAAGATGCTAGTCACTTTCTCTGAATCAAAATTTGACATGGACATAGCAACCCGCATAGATATAATATCAACAACTACACAGACTGACTCTCACAATACATGCATTGAATGTCCACATAAACATCCACATAAAGCTCCACACAGACATGCACAGACACCCAAACAAAGGCCCTCATAGATATCCAAATAAATATTTTTAATTAAACGTTTAAAAGCCATTATAAAGCTTAACACGTGCTGCTTTTATATGAATTAAACAAGCGAATCTGCAAAACGAAAATTAGCATAATGCAGATGGCGTAATTTGTCCTCAAATTGATTGCAAATAACTGAGCTTATAAGACTAAAAAAAATAATATAATCATGGAGGTTAACGTCATTCTTGAAACAAAACGCATGTCACTTTCCAATTAAAATATAAATAGCTGCATACACTGCTCCGCCACGGTTAATATTTTTTAAATGTACCAACTGGGTTAAGAACAAAACTAAACACAACAGAAACACAACGACAACACAAACATAAAAGAAAAAACAAACGCAAAGAAAACATACAAAACACAAACATAAATGAAAACACAAACATAAAAGAAAACAGAAACACAAAAGAAAACACAAACACAGCCCAAACATAAAAGAAAACACAAACACACTGCAAAATAACATAATGCAAACACAAGCGAAAACACAAACAAAACACACAAACACAAAGGAAAAAACAAACGCAAATAAAAACACAAAACCAATGCAAACGCAAATGCAAACCAAAAAAAAAAAAACGAAAACACAAACACAACTCTCAGAACATAAACACAACTTAAGTGCAAACATAAAAACTTAGTGCTCACAGTCTAGCCCGTAGAGACATATCACACCCTGTACTAGCGTCGGTGGACGTGCCAGGTTCAATTTAGTAAACGACTATAAAACCCCAAGCTTGTTCGCAAACCAAAAGACAGAAATAATAATTAGTAAACAGTACGTTAAATGTATAAAATAAATAAAAGGCAGTATTTAAAATATCCGAGTTTTACCTACCATATTGCACTTTATCAATCCATGCATTCACAGAACGTTTTTTATGAATATTTTTCAGTACTTTAAATTTTAAAAAATTACAATAGAGTTGAATACTAAATTCATTGAGCACCTAATGAACGTGATGACGGGTGTATAATGTTGAGAAATAGTTGATTAAAAATTATAATTAGTAAACAGTACGTTCAGTGATTAAAATAAATAAAAGATAGCCTTTTATCAATCCGTGCTAATTATAATATTCCAACAATCATGTCCTCTTACACTTCTACAGAATTTGCATTCTTATTTTGCTAATCATATTATTCCAACAATAGTTCCCTCTTGGAGATTTTGTATTCACATTTTGTTATCAGCGTGAGTTGAATTTATTTTTAAATTACCTCCCTTGGCAAAATTACAAAACAGTTTAATTGATTAGCTTTTTCGACCCTATTACTATTATTAAAATGTATCAACTTTTTCGAGGAATCTAAACGAAAATGATATTTGACATTGATCTTTTTAATATGTTTTAGCTATTTGCGTGTATGTAATATTTTCTGAACATATGCGAAAGAGTAAAAACAGTGGCAACTATAGAGTAAATTTAAGTCGTTATATAAGCAAACCCTACAATATTACCTACGTTGTAAGTAAAATTAAAAACCGCGATGACGGGCTGACACACTACCTAGCCGCTTATATTATAGATAATTTATGTTTATAGTCGGCTTAGTTGTGAGTTGTGACAATATTGGATTTCTATTTCAGAATCAAAGATGGCGCCGCAGCTATATTTGTAGCTGTCCTACTCTTCGCCTTCCCATCCAGTCTACCATGTATGAAAACTAAGCAAGACACTAAGCAGCCTATCAAAACTATAGACAATCAAACAGATCTAATAAATGTTGAAGTCGGCATTAGTAAGTTCTTATAAAACTTAAAGCATCATGTTTAGGTTTGAAACTAAACAATTATAAAACGATGAAAGTATTCCGTTCACGTTATAAGTCCATAAAGCGGATGACGTAGAATACATGTCCATTTTTTTTTTACCTCAGAGTATGAAAGTGTTGTGTGGTTGTTCCTATTTAGTCTAATTCACTTTCACATATCGTTCACATATTGTTTTGCCTCAGTTGAAGCTCCAGAAATTCGACCCCTGCTCAGCTGGCAAGCTGCACAAGAAAAAATACCCTGGCAGTTATTCTTTTTGCTGGGTGGAGGGTTTGCCTTGTCTAAAGGTAGTGAGGTAAGCGAAAATTGGTGGTGGTTAATGTTTTTGAAGAGACTGAATATGAGACTGAATATGATTAAAATAACTCGATATGTGTGGGGGGAGGGGGGGCTCAAAGTTGTGATGAGGAATATGTGCTATAAAAATAAAATAAAACTCGATTCGCATTTAAGTCCATTATATTTATTTAAAGGAATGTAAAGTGAAGGATCTAAAAAAGTTTTTTTTAATAGGTGCATGATTTTTTGTAAGAAGTTTATACTTTAAAAAATACATTGTTCAGTGACAATTTATAGTAACTGTTTATATCTTGTTTTTTTTACGTGAAGAAATCTGGTCTCTCTGCTTGGATTGGTCAAGAACTTGAAGTGTTTAGCAGCTGGAACCAATGGGGAATCTTGTTCATGATCTGTTACATCACAGCTGCTGCTACGGAAGTGACGTCAAACACGGCCATCGCTAATCTATTTTTACCCATCGTGTCGCAGTTGGTAGGTCGAGACGCGGAGATTAGCGGGGATTTACGTACGGACACAGGGTCAACCCCTCATCACCTCCCCCCGACATAGTTCTATATCCCCCACCCACACAGTTTCTCCCACCCTCCTAATGTATTGCCATCACTCCCTTAAATCAGGAGTGTTCATTCGTCTGGTGGTTTTCGGTGAGGTTTCCCAAGGTGAGAGATCCTCCATCCCCATCAACTCTATAACATGTACACATATAGGCATTAGGTCTCATCCTATTTCTTCTTCCTTCTTAATTGTAGTGGTGAAAGGAATTTTCTCCAACACAATTAAGTATTGCATGTCAACAGTTATGTACTATTTAGGCCCTCGACTCCCTTTTCAGCTTGCTTTCTTTTCTTGATTTGCTTCCATTGCGTTTGTCCAAAAAAACACAAACAACAAGGCAGTATTTGTTTGATTTTGGATTTGTCTCCCCTAGAGGGGATGCTGCCCCTAACTGCCGAGGCTCATCTGAACATGGGTTCGAACCCGACCCTATCCCTATTTCTATCACCATGTTTGTAAAAATTAAATGTATGTAGCAGTAAAAAAGCTACAAAGTGCATTGAAAAATAATGCTGTCTTGGTAAATGCGGCTAATTTTCGTTTTGGTGTCACCTAATCAGTTAGTTTAACTTGGGGAAATGGTGTCCACATTAATCATCACAAAACCTAACCCAAGTCTACAACCCCCTACCCCCTTGTTACGCCACTGCATTAAACTTCTGACCAGTATTTCCCCCCTCCCCCTCTCCGTGTGAAGTCAATGCTTTAAATCTTCACAAACCTATCCCCAGGCAATCAACACTGGCGTCCACCCTCTGTACTACATGCTGCCCACCACACTGGCCTGCACATTCGCCTTCATGCTGCCCGTAGCTACAGCACCCAACGCCCTGGTCTTCTCGTACGGCAGGCTAAGCATGAGAGATATGGTGAGTGCATAGTTCATTTGGGGTATGGTGAGTACATAGCTTCATGTGTCTTCCCGTTTCCAAAACTAACTATGATTTACATAATAAACAAACACACGTTTTAATCGATAAGAGATTAACCGCAATGTCTTGGGCATTAAATGATTATTTGTTACATGGTGAGTTGCATTGCTGTTACGCCCAATGCGTAATTTTAGATTCTTCATTTCACGTTGTGCTGGCGACATAGGCCTTGTTTGTTTATCGCAATGTCTAGGCACATCGCTTTATCTCATTGGTCTTATATTCCCTGCACACTCGCGCCTATGTGTCTTATATTACCTGCACACCCCTAGCTGTGAATCTTATTTTACTTGCTCACCCCTACGTTGTTTCTTATATTACCTTCCCAAGCCTTCCTATTTGTGTTACACCCTAGGCCGTCCTCACCCCGAAATGTTACATCCCCAATGTCTTATACCATCTACATGACAACCCCAGTCAGTGCCCCACCCTTGATGTCTAATGCCACCTTTATTACATCAGGCACAGACTGGTCTAATGTTGAGCCATCTAGTTATGCCCCCACCTTAATGTCTTATACCACCTATGTTACACCTCCAAACTGTACCCCCACCCCAATGTCTTATTGTACTTATGCTACACCCCAGTCAGTGCCCCACCCCCAATGTCTTATGCCACCTTTATTACACCCCAGGCACAGACTGGTCTAATGTTGAGCCATCTAGTTATGCCCCCACCTTAATGTCTTATACCACCTATGTTACACCCCCAGGCTGTACCCCCACCCCCGATGTCTTATTGTACTTATGTTACACCCCAGGGTAGTGCCCCTACCCAAATGTCTTATACCACCTATATTACACCCCCAGGCTATTGCCCCACCCACAATGTCTTATACCACCTATATTACATCCACAGGCACAGACTGGTCTAATGTTGAACCTACTGGCCGTGCCCTGCTCCATCGCAGTGACCTCCACAATTGGTGACCTTTTGTTTGACTTCGCTAATGTACCTGTAGAGTTTCTTAACTCCACTGCAAGACAAGCATAACAGACAGGTGTAGTAGCAAGGTGTGGCACACAGGTCTCGCAGATGATACCCCACACATATATGAATGCTAATCTACACTAAACTCCTCTTGGAATGTTAATATATTGTAAATAAAGTCATGAATATCTTGTGTTTCTCGTTTTTTTCCCCTCCACAATTGAGAAATAAAAGTTTTGCGAATAAAGTAACAGGTAAGGTTTGTCTTGATGCACAATTTTCGATTTGTTTACAAGTGGTGGTCAATCACTTATTACAGCGAAGACTCTAGAACCAACAGAATGACATGGACTCTGTTAAAGACCCGGCACTTCTTTCTTACACACACGAGCAACAGCAAGACAAAACTAACAATCTTGCTAATTTTTCGACATGTCTGGGTCTGTACGGCTAGAGATGGAAAAGTCCTCAAAGTCAATCCATCAAAAAGCACCCCAATAGCATTTGCAGAGGTAGACCAAGAAATAGTGGAAAGATTGGTTAACATTGGAGGCATTGTTGATAAGCAAGGCGAGACAGAAGAAGATATTTAAATGTCGTATTTGGATTAGATATATTATAGAATGAGGTATGTGCTAGGTATGTGCTGGGTTAATATTTGGGTCTTACAATCTGTTAGCGTAACTTTCGTTCAAATTTTTTACTGTGTTACGAATTAAATATTGTTTATTTTTGTCGAGAACGGATAAAAAATGGTAAATACGATATTTTTTTGACTACCATTCTTACAATGACAATATTAAAATATTGTGTCAACTATTCCAGCAATGACAAAATATGCAACAAATATCTCAGAAGTGGTTTATTTGACACTTACTGACAACCATGTTACTACTAACAAGTACTATATTTTAGAAACCGAAAAGTAGGCCAGACACCTGTCACAATATGTGCCTCAAAATGCACATTATTGACTTTGCATTTAAGATTCCCCCTCCCACCCTCACACACCACCGAAACCCCTGTTGACAGCAGATGTTGTCTACTTCCACTCAGGTTGATCGATTTTATTGAGTACAATCAGATTGTTTTATCACCCACCTCGATAGATCAGCCAACGCAAACATGTAGAGGTATATTTCAAATTGGAATTGCGTTCTTTATATTAATGGCAAAACGAGACAAGACCGTTCTTGTCCCTACCTGTGTAATGACTACGGGAGACTATTACTATTATACAACGTTGTTTTAAATTAACCCATATTATCCCAAGGTCTCAAATTTTTATAATTTTTTTTATATGGTTTAGCTTTTGGGCACTGAATGAAGGAATGACTATGGATTTAAAAAAAAAAATCAATACTTTTTTAAATATCGATTTTTTTAAAAAAACGTCCCATAAATGGGACGCTAGCAACGAACGGCCCCATGTACATTTATTGAAAAATAAAATAATTTATCACAAAATATGGCTAATCACGCGAAAATAAAGCTGTATACTGATGTTGTATTGTTAGAACAATGATTACATTGTTTAGGACAGCTAAAAATACTGATAATGATCAATTGGGTTAGCCATACCATGGTCGAAAATGCAGAAATTATGTTCAAAAGTCTAGTTTTCTTTCAATCTAGCATCCATCAAAGTGAGCAACACTTGGAAATAAGTAAAGCTGTGACTAGTACATCTAATTATACACACATGATCACAAATATTGTTATTATTCATCGAAACTGTAATATAATTAAATATAAATAATTGATTTTATGGGGGGCGTACTTGAAATTTTCAGGGGTGGGGACTTAAATTTCAGGGGAAGGGTGGACATTGGTAAAAGTATGTTTTGTATATAAATTCCATTTTGTTCTGGTGGCAGAGCCCCCCCCCCTCCTCCAAAATGATGCCAGAAAGAAACTCTGCCCTCAGTGAATTTGCAAAAGATGATCCGGTCCAGTCCCAGATGTCATCCAGCCATCTTCTCTTTTAATACCCTCGCCATTCCCCCCCCCCCTCTCACAGGCGTACATTAGGACATCAGACATCTTATTTCTAGGGCACGGATCCGTCTCTGGGGGCTTGTATTGAGTGTTCATGGCTCTCATCCATGCATGCACCTCACTATGCGAACAGCTCCCAATCTAACACCAGGAATCTCCTTTAAAAGTTAACAAAGTAAAACTGGTATCGGGAACGTTTGCAGGGTAATATTATTGGGGCATGACAACTGTACACAGCTAATTCACATTTCTGCTATATGTAGCTTAAGCTCTCTTATATGAAGAGAGTTAACCAACCCCCATGACTGAATCATTTCACCTAAATCGTGGCCATTGTTATTATTCTGGTTTGTTATAATTTTAATATCAAGCGCTAGTAAATTTACAGCAATACTAAATTAGTTTGTATTCAATGGTATTAAATACTTCAGTAAGTGTAATTCTGAAAACTTAAAAATAAAATGTAAGTTTTTCAATATTTGCAATTGTTTAATACAATAATATATAAGAAAATATAGGTAAAGGTCATAATTAAATATCTATAAATACTACGTAACACCCGAAAGTCAACAGTTAACAAAGTCAACAATTATTTCACCATAAATAACCATTTAACATAAATATTTGCATCTGTGTTTCTCGCTAGTGTCCAATAAATGTGCCGTTTGTGTAACAATCTGCATAAATATAGGTCAAGGTCATAATTAAATATCTATAAATACTACTTACCACCCCAAAGTCAGCAGTTAACAAAGTCAACAATTGTTTCACCATAAATAACCATTTAACCTAAACATTTGCCTCTGTGTTTCTCGCTAGTGTCCAATAAATGTGACGTTTGTTTAACAATCTACATGGGGCCATTCGTTGCTAGCGTCCCACTTATGGGACGCTTGTTGTACACTTGATATAACGAAGTAGTAAAAACAATTGTTATTCTTAAATTTTTATCAGATAGAAATATGGTACTGCTACAAGTTTCAAATGTATTTTGCACTTAAAATGTTAATATTTTAGAAGATATGCATTTTCCTGTGCGCATGTTTTCTTTTTTCCGCCATTTTGACAAGTCCTGCAAATCCGGCACTATAACATTTTTCTAAATTATTTTTTTTCACAAAACACACACAAATTCAATAGTCTAACCATTTTCAAATACAATGAAACATAATTTGTGTTTTAATTAGTTTTTAATAAATTTTAGCAATTTTTTTTACAAGCGTCCCATAAGTGGGACGCTAGCAGAATATGGGTTAAAAGCAAGTTAAATAGATATTCAGCGATTGGCTTTACCACATGGTCTTAACAATTGGTACTGTATGTGAAATCACTCACACTGGCGGCAATATATGAAAATCAACAGGTTGTAATTTGTATGTTTAAGACAGAGGGTTCCCAGAAAAATGCGCAAACGGAAAACTGCGCTGCGAATAATTGCGCAAATTGAAAAGTGCGCAAATTAAATTAAATTATACTAATACAATTTTGTCATATTTCGTGGAAAATTGTTTTGTTATGCTACAATATGCACGTGGTCATCATTTGCTACTGTCTACAAAAATGCCCTTGCACATTTTTTTTTGTGCGCAATTTTCAATTGCGCATTTTTCCGGTCACCAAGAAAGAGAAGTGGAGGGAAAGAGTAATAATACTACAATTAATCAACTAATTACAAAATACAACACTTACAAAAAAGTACAATACAGATGAGCCAGGAAACCACAAACCTTTAGACAGTGCAAACTTCCTATAAATATTCCACAATAGTTGGTTAAGTCAGCCCTCTTCTGTCGCGTTTTTTTATTAATATTCTAGACTATTTTTAATAAGCAAGTAATTGTTGAGAAGGTTAAGAACCCTTTCGAACCTGACGGTCAATAGGGCAAGGGAATTAGAATCGCCTGTTTCAGTGACCGTGGCGAATTAAGGGATAGTTCCAGCCGCCTTTAATTTCCCTTACATGAGTTGCGCACTCATCAGAACTGGGTACACTCATTTTACTTGAAATTCGAACTACTGAACTATCGGGTTAACATCCGTATGATCTACCATAGGACCATGCAAATCCCACGGTTTGCTAGGTATCTTGTCTTTTTAGAATTGTATAAACTCGGTTTAGTAAAAACAAAAACATTTTTTTTAATGTGATATAAGTGAAGCAATAATGTAACAAATAAGGTGTGTGTGAGAGAGAGAGAGAGAGAGAGAGAGAGAGAGAGAGAGGAGAGAGAGAGAGAGAGAGAGAGAAAATATTGCTGCATCATGCAGCCATTGATTCTACGACAACACTGTGCATGAAACATAATTTAATTTATATTTCTTAATGGCAGTTCATAGGTCAAATGAAGTAATTTTATTTTTTCTTTCGCTGTCTTTGCATCTGAAGAAATATTTGGCTACAAACTAAAACTTAACGTCTTCCGATTCGAGTCCAGCAACTATCTGGCCTGCGTGTAATCATATGCTCTACCGCTACATCATGATGTATAGCACACAACTCAGGTGTGTACAATAACGTTCATCTTTTTACACTACACACAGTTCGATACTTAAACACAAACCTGAATAATAAATTTCGTCTTCTCTAGTCACGCTTGAGGTGACGGATTATGATTTGTAGCTTTGATGTCAAGCTAACACAGAGCTAGCTTGGTCGAAAACGTTTTAAAAACGCACATAAAAGCTGTAACAACAAAAAACGCTGAAATTTTGTCTTCATCTTGGCTTTAGAGTATACGTGTATTCAATAACATACATGTTATTAAAGCAACTTGTCTAGGGAGATTAATCATGTTTTATACATGGTAAATATGTGGGTGGATTCGAAATTTGAAAATGTTTGATTGACTAGGTAGTGATTGTGTTTTAGGTAGTTAGAGATAATGGGCGATACAATGTTTGAATGTAATTGGTGGAGTTGGTAAATTAGTTAATTGTCGAAAAGGTAGCTAATGGATAATTAGCAATGTAAAAATTGTGTGTGATTTAAGAAATAACGTAAAGTGGCTGGGCAGAAGAACACAAAACTTACAACGGGGAATTCTAGGTTCTGTATATTTTGCTCAAGTGAAGAAAAATAAACAAAAAGGCCATGCAAGCATGTCCGGTCCTAAAGGGTATCTAAGTTAATGGGTGTGGTACATGGGAGAATATGGACTTTGG